AGCAAACACCGGTCGCTTGCGGCCTACCAAAATGATGCACTTTCGACCCTTTCCTTGTTCGACAAACAGTGAACCGTGGCTTTCGAACCAAGTGTAACCACTGTGCTTTCTGCGTATTCGGAACACAATGTTGACAGGGTTTCCGGTTGTTGTGTCCTTCAGCTCGCGTGTAACAGGAACAATATCAGATGGATGACATACTGTTGAAAGTGAGTTGCCAACCAAATCCGCAGCCTCATATTCTAGGACCTTCTTGCAAGACGGAGAGAGATATAGAAAGAGACCTTTGAGCGAGAGAACGTGAACCACATCGTCGGTATTCTCGAGGAGCATCTTATCCCATGATTGCTTATGCCAATCAGAGGTGAGACCCTTGGGGCTGAACTGCTGTAACAGGGTGGAGACATCGTCCACGCCTAACGTCTGGCCGTTATCGGGCTCCCAGTGACTGGATTGCGGTGGTGTCCAGATGTATTGGCCAATGTCGCTGTGTTTGTAGTTCACCTTTACACCACCAAGGTCTTGATTCGATGCGATCGCGTCCGGGCATTCAACGAGGTCGATCTGGAAGCCAATAAAGTATCTGATTTCATCAGTGTCCCACGGGATGGGAATCATAGTAAGAAGGTTGAGGAAAGGTTTTCCACCCTTTCGATAGTTGATAAGACTCTGTTGAACCTCCCTGCCTTCGTGAACCATCTTCTTCAAATTGTAGACGGCTCCATCATCAACGAACTCTCGCTTGGAGCCCGCTTCGACTTTGCCATCTGGGGCCTGTAGAAAGCGGCAATTCTGGCCGACAATCTCATGACGACTATAACCGGTGAGGTTTTGGAAGTTGTCGGAAACGTATATAATAGGGCAATCGTTCATGGAGACATCGCAAACGACAAAGGCACAGGACATGTCCACAGCGCCAAGTTGTATGCGCGGGTTCTTACGAGTAGCGACTAACCACAAAGCTTTAAGCATATCAAATCCACTCTTTGAGTATATCGTCTTTTCCTTTGAGTCCCTCGGGGCATCGCCAGTTGATGGGGTCGTTGCAACTGAAGTGCTGGTCGGATGAGTAACGGTTGAGGAGGACATGGCTCCGTGTGAGTGTTGCTGTGGAGGTGAAACAACAGAGCCGGAGGCAGTTGAGACTTGGCGAGAAAGTGCAGGTAAGTTTTGGTTGTTATCTCCAGTATTCATGTTATTGAAAGCCGGATGGTTCATAATACTGTCGCCCGAATCCTCTATGGTATCCATAGCGTTGTTGGTGGGAGCCGGGACTGGGGTCGTCGTGGGAGGGTTGCTTTGGTTCATATTTATGGAGCCGGCATCCGGAGAAAGATCCATGGAGAAGTCGTTACCAACCTGAACTTGAGGGGTCAGTTGGCCTTGTGGGAACTGGCTCATGGACGGTGAGTAAAGGTTCATCGGCGAGGCGTTGCCGGCCATCTGTGCTCCAACGCTCATGCTTGCAAAGGTAGAGGGCATCATAGAACTCATCATATCAGGGGATATGGTCGAATAGTCATTAGGGTCAGATGTCATATAATTGCCCATTTGGTCCATGCCGATGGAGGTATTAATGGTGGGAAACCCCCCTCCCATGGGTGGTTGGTTAAATTGGTACGAGTTGAGGTCGGCGTTATCGGTTCCAAAGGCCATCACGTCACCGTTGCCGACTGAAGACATCCGCCTTTGCCCTTGCTGCTGCTGCTGATTCATCTGGAACTGACCCATAGGGTTAGTAAAGGCTTGGGGCATGCTCTGTCGACGGTACAGCTTGTCTTGATTATCGCGCACAATATCATCGAGGGAATCTCCTCCCCCCTGATAGAAGTTTGGATCGTTCATATTGTGCTGCATGTGGCTCTGCTGGTTCTGCTGCATTCGAGGTTGTTGGAACTGTTGAGATGGTTGCTGCTGCTGCTGCTGCTGCTGATGGGGAGAGTAGTAGCCATCCATAGCGACAGCATCTGGCTGGACGGCCTAGCCAGGCGCTCGAGGGAAGTGGCGAGCGGGTGTTGTCCCGTATGTATAGCGCGAAATCTGACAGATGGTGTCCTGGTTCGACTACCGAGGCGTCGGAAAGGTTGGCGGCCTGAGAAGACCCTAGCTGCAGCGGAAAGAAAAGGCGAAGACTGGTAGCAAACGCAACAGTATGACGAGGTGAGAGAAGTCGCGATATGGGAGAACCGTGACGGGTCAAGATTAGTTATGTCAAGTCGAGTCGGGTCGGGTCGATGGTTTAACGTGATAAATCAGGCCGGAGTGATCAAGCGACCGAGCGAAAAAGAGAGGGACAGGGTATGGATAATCGCAGATGGCAAATGCGCGGGGGTGGGTATTTCGTGCTTGGTCGAATTTGTACTGTTCGGGATTGGACTGTGGCTCAAAAATCGCGGCGATGGAAAGGTCGGAAATGGGGGAAATTTGCGATCGGAGGAGAGGTGTGAGAAAGGCAGATTCTACGTTTGAAGCTGGATCGCGTCAACGCCGAGGAGGGGAGGATTCGCTATGTCGTTTGAAGGGGAAAACGAGAGGGATGCAGAAGTAGGGGACGGTATGGCAGAAGAAGAATGGGAATGCGTGAGAAGCAGATGCCCTGGGCTGGGCTGGGCTGGGCTGCTTTGGGTGTGTGTGGGTGGGGGAAAGTACCTACCTACCTACCCACCTTGTCTTGTCTTGTCTTGCCTTGCCTTGCCTTCCACGCCATGCCATGCCGTGCCACGCCTACCTACCTGGGAGCTAGGCCAGTAGCCAGGCAAAGAGCAGGCAGTCAAAGGTGGGATTGGATTGGATTGGATTGGATTTGGTGGATCCAATGGATCATGGTGTGGCTAGTGTGAGGTGGGAAGCAAGACAGGCCGAAGGACAACGGACTATCTTACTAACGTTATGGGCTCCTGGTGCTAATGGAAGCCGGAGATTGGGGACTACGAGCTTCCGTGAGAGAGAGGGACTGGTGACTGCCGCTTTCTGCGGCTCAGTCGAACCCTTTCAAGATCGCCATTTGCGGGTGCTACCTACCTATAAGAAGCAAAGTCGGAACCTGCTGCACAACTCAAGGTGAGATATCCTTTAGATAGGTACTGACTTACCTTACCTTATCTAAGGTAGATACTTCCAAGATAAGTACAGAAGTATCCATCTCAAGACTTTGCCTTAGCCTGCCGAGGGTAGCGCACAGCGCTGTTCTTGTACTGCACTTAGAGTACTGTACCGTACAGAGTACAGGACTCATGCATGTGGGGTGAGGAGGACGAACTTGAACTTGCTCCGCGCCAAGAGTAACTCCGGTGCAAGAGGCTTGCGCATTGCCCAGTAGAGGCTAGGCTCGAGTAAGAGCTGGGAATGATTTGATATCAGATGGGTGATTTTTGAGGAAATCATAGCAGTACAATAACGTTGGATATTTAACATAAGCCGATAGAAAACCGTATCAATAGAAGGTTATAACTTGCTCTCACTATAACTTCAAAGCATTTCCCCAAAAATGAAAGATGTGGCTACCTCACCTTGTCCATCGGGTTTACTGGAGGACAGACAACCTTGGGGCCTTTTGGGCTGGGACGGGAAGACCCTGTGCTTCGCTTCTGTCCGGGCTGCACAACAATTTATCCTTTCTTTGTACATGCCCTGTGCCTGTCAAGTCCAGAGATCATCTCCATTTTGGGAAATGTCCAGTTTTTGCATTGAAACACACAGTCAATTAAAAATCACTATCGAGATCTGAAATCCAATACCAAAAATGTATCTTTCCCACCAAAAGAAAAAGGGAAAAGAAAAAGAAAAAGTCGTGTAAGCAAGCCCCTACGGAGTAAATATGTGATAAATACCCTGCATGAGCATGTCTCGAATTCGCTACCACACCCGCGGTTCCTTGCAGGCCAGAAAAAGTAAGACCAAAGTGCGAGCAAGCATTCATCATTCATTCAAATGGAGGGTATAGCTTAGTACTTCTACAGTGCTCGATATTCAACACGCCCCCTCCCTCTAGCTCTGCTTACACCTAAAGGTACCCGTCAACCCTGTCGCCATCATTATTAACTTTGTTTTGAGTGCCAATGCTCACCAGTCTGTCTTTGTGAAATGGCATTTGCGCTCTGGTGATGGCGACAGAGTTAAGTAGGTAACCTTCATCACTCTGCATAAGTACTTAGGTGCCGAAGTTGGGCAGTACATTGACTCAATTCCCCCTCCTTGTCGTACTATTGCGAATCGTGGCTGAATCAATCAATGCTCACTTGGCAAGCCAGAGGCAAATATCAGAATATCGCCGATATCAAGGAAGGGCCTCCACGATCCTGCATGCGAGTAAAGACATTCATTCCATATCTCCCCTAGCCCATCTTACCATTCAGTCATGGGAAGGAAACCGGTGTGGTTATTTGATTCATAATTCCGTACGCTACAAAACTCGTCATCTATATATATGACAGACAGACAGACAGACAGACCGACCAACCAACCAACCAACCGACTGACTGGCTGTTTGACTGTCTTGCCGCTGCCGACCAAAACCCTCGCGACGAGGTACTAACCAGTTATCAATAACCTAACTCGTAAACTCTAATGATTTTGTAAAAAAGGCGCCATGCGGTCTTGAGGTTTTAGACTGCCTAAACAAAATGCCCTCTCATTTTTACCCCGACGCCTAGGACCGTCGTCCTCTGTTTCTCTTCTTCCATGTTCGGGACATGGCATTTCTTGAACGCTGATTCGAACCCGATCCACTTCGCTCGAATGAAGCGCATTTCCACATCACGTCGATGCCACCATTGCTTTGTGGATTCGCCCGTTGGAGCTGCCTGCCCCCTAAACGGGTTCCAGGCCCATGGCTGACATCTTATAGCGTTCATCATCTAAAAACGCCGCTACATCTCTCCAGAGATGGCCTATAGGGCCGTCTCGATACCCGGCGACACTCGGCTGGGTGATATGAACCAGTCTACCGTCATTTGACTTCCGAAACGGTGGTAAGACTCAGCCCATCTGCGAGCTTCCTCCTAGTTGAAGAATCCCATGATGGTTCGCTGTGCCTCAGGAGAAAATTGCTGCAGAAGAGGCGTAGGGTCAACGCCGGTCGATGTCAGGAACCCCTTAGTTGCTAATGCTACCCGGTTGGCAGTCTGTCCCACGAGGGTCTCTGCCTCGAGAGCCTGGGCGATAAACACGAAGACTTTGCCAGCTTGGTTCGCCACGGCTGGGTGTCGTCTACAAGTTCAAAGCGTTAGCATGAGCACACCAACACACTGGTGGTACGTTGAGGGAGGAGAGTACTTACTGGTCAATCAGCTCCGCAAGATATGCATAAGCATACGGTGCTGCTTCTTCATCGTTGGTCACGGGTAGAGTCTCTACCCATTGCGTAATCACGGTTTGCACATCTCCTACTGTGCTTGCATTATAGTGAAGAATCTTGGCGATAGCTGCACATGCATTCTCAGTCGCGTAGACATTGTCCTCATTACGGGCGTCAGGAACCTGAGTGACCTGGAACAAGAAGGGGACTGAGCCTCCCAAGAACTGCGCCCACGGTGCTCCACCTCGGTGCGCCGCAACTCCGATGCCGTAAGCTGCCGCCTGGCGAATAGCCGGCGAAGCATCACGGCAACCATCGATGAGCGGTTGGGTGATGTAGTTGGCATATCGTGTGCTCTCAGTGCCGCAGTACTCAAGGACATCATCCATGATGCATAGTCCCCACTGGCGTTGGGTGGGATCGTTTGAGGTAAGGAAGCCCTCATATGTGGGCATCAATCGCTCCCAGGCAGGCAAGAACGCAGCACCGTGGTTCTTGAAAATAGCATGGAAAGCCTTGTTCATATCCGAAAGCAGGGTCTGATCATCCTCGATAGCCATCAGAGTATCCTCAGCCTCATCTTCCACGTCCTCGGCAGTGGCTCCCTCCTTGTCTTCAAGACGTTGGGCGACACGGTCCTTGTAGTCCTCAATAGCAGAATGTACCGAGTCGATGAATCGGCTGAGGTGGTCTGCAGAAAGACAGTCCTTTCCAATTACCTCAACAGATTCATAGAAGCATTGGTACATCTCAGCAAGTGTGTCGATGGCAGGCTCAGCAGTCAAGACCTCGAGGAGCTTGTCGACAGTCGCACTCCACAGACCACGGAGCTCGTTGGACTGAGGGCCGTAGGCTTTCTTGTAAGAGCTCAACAGCTGAGGAACAAGCTTGGCAGAGATATATCGAACAGGATCATGGAAGAAGAATGCAAGGCCAGGCAAAGCGATCTTCTCCATGATCTCCGCTACATAGGGAGCAAAAGAAGCCTCAAGGACTTGGGCGTAGACGACCAGGAGTTCAATGGCCATGTGCTTGTCATCCATGGTACTTGTCTTGATACCAATCATCTTACCCTTGAGGGGAACAAGTTCCCATCCCTCCTCATTCTGCATCTGCTCAACCTGGTCATCATCGTCCAGCAGTTGGATATCAGCCTTGGCAACAGCAAGCTCCAGCAGAGGAGGCATGACGTTGTGAAGAAATGGAAGGAAGTCGGAACCGAGAACACGACACATGCGGCCCCAGCAGTGCATGAGGTATTGAGCTTGAGGGTCGTCTGCATCAGTAATGTTTGCCTGGATGTTGGCCAGAAGGTTGACAAGAGTCATAGCATCCTGGCCAAGACGCTCTTTTCCAACGGCCAGGGCGATCAATGTGGCGCACTCCATAGCCTTGGCACGCAGAAGTCGGTACTCCTTCTCGCTCTGGTTCTGGAGAACATTAACAAGAAGAGGCATGAGGGTATCGTAGTATTTCGAGAAGGCAGCTTCAGCGGCGTCGGCGATGGTGGCGATTGTAGAGAGAGCTTGCTCTTGGACATAGCGTTTTTCATTTTGAAGAAGCTGGAAAAGATGCGAAAGTAGCTCGTCCAGATATGGCTCCAGAGTGGCCTTCTCGGCCTCCTCACAGAAGTTAACAAGAGCTGCTGCTGCGTGGGACTTGACACGGCCTTCGGGCGAGTCGAGGACAGGAATGATTGCCTTGAGAACTCGGTCGTAGTAGTCAGTCTGCATCTTAGGGGCAAAATCAGTGCTCATCTGACCAAGAGCATTGCAGCCAGCCCATCGAACTCGAGGATGAGGATCTCGGAGAGCGGGAACCACTAGATCTAGCACTTGGCTAAGCTCTCCAATCATCAGATCACGGCAGCCCTCGGAGATGGCAGAGATGGCCATCAGAGCAGCATGTCGATCCCTCCAAGCCATGGAAGTCATCATACGAGGAAGCCAGTTGAAAGTAGGGGCCAGAATGGTCTGACCCCCAAGCTTGTTCGCAAGTCGGTCCATGGTTTGCTCGCCAGCAACGTGGTTCTGGTCACTCTCGTCCTGGTCAAACTGCAGGGTGAGTTAGTTACATGAATTATTTGTCTCCATTCTGAAAACTCACGTCATCAGATGCCATCCATTCGGAAGCATCATCGTCATCCTCGCCTAGATCCGTCATGAGACTCAAGCACTGGGTGATCATGTCGTTTGTGTACGATGGGTCCTTTCGGCACACGGAGGGGGCGTAATCAGCAAATGTAGCCATGAGCTCAAGAGCGTTTTGGCGGCAGATGTTTTCGAGCTCCTTGTCCTGAATTACCGAGATGCTAAATTGGACAAGGTTCTGGAAGAGAGGTTTGAACATTTTGGGAGCAGACTCGGCGAGATCGATGAGAGCAAGGAGCGCCTTGCTGAGGTCGTCTGAATCCTGAGAATCCTTGATCGGAGGAAGAATGTTGAGGACATCGGGAATAAGGGCGTAGTACTTAGCCTGTCCCTTCTTGCTAATAGTCCTGAAGAATGAAGCAAAAGCCTCCATAGCCGCAAGACGGACCTATAGCTGTGGTTAGCAGAGCCATGACATGCAATGTGGGACAGAAAAGTCTGCCCCACGGCAGGGGTGCCATACCATGACGGCGTCGTCTTTGAAGCCCTTCTGGAAAGCTTGAAGAACAGCCTCCTCATGCTGCTTCTCGATGATGGCGGGAGTGGTAGCGAAGACTCGGAACGCATTCTCTCGCTTCTCTGGTTCGGGGGCTTGGCTAAGTTGGAAAAGAGCGCCAAGCAGTTCGGGCCAAATATCGCCTATTGCAGGAGTTGTTAACCAAGTTCCAGGATACGGAGGGTCACTCCAGGGCTTTGAAAAGCTTACCATTCTCGGTGTATTGCCTGGCAAGCTCGGCAACAGCATCACTAATTTTGTTGCGAACGAGGCGTTCAGACTCGGCGGCAAGGATCTCGAGAATCTTTTGTCGAATGACGGCGGCTTGGTCCTTAGTCAAAGAGATGAACAGATCCGTGGTCTCTCCGGCCTCGTTCTTGCGGGTTTTTGAAGCAATTCGGCGGAAGATTACAGCGGAAAAAGATCGTGTCGCATTGTCGCCAGCAGCTTGAATCTGTTCCGCCAGTCCCATCAACAGGACCTCAGGTCGGGTGGCAGTCCAGTTGTTCTGCAGGTGCTCCTCGGCTTGTGATCTTATACTGTTGTCGGGGGACTGCAGAGCTTGCAGGAGCTGTGAAAGCTCTGCGTGGATGTCGGGTGGGAGCAGAGACATTGTTGTGGTCGTGGAGGGTTGCTGATGGTGATGTCCACCAGCAGACGACAAAGAAGTTTGGGTCTCAGTCGGAGGATGTGGACAAGAGTAGCGATAATGAAGTACTACTTGAAGAAGAAGTGTGAAAAAGCTACGAGCCGTCGAGGTTCGTTGGCTTGAGTCGGCCGTGGCTTCACTTTAAGGGACGAGATTTCCAAAGATCCCAGATGGTGTGAAAGAAAGAAGAGAGGGACTGAATGGGAGCAGAAAGTGAAGTGGGGGAGGGGAAGCCCAAAGTTGAGGGTCGTGAATAAGTACCATGCGGGCGAGGCTTTGCTGGCGAGGTACTTGGGGACAGACTCGAGCCCAAGAGAAAAAAAAAACAAAGGGTGCGCGGTGACCAGGTCGTGGCTAGTGTGTTTTTTCTGTAAGGTACTAGGTAATAAGGCATTGATTGTTTATTTTTTACCTTTTCTGCCAGGCTACAATCAAGACATAACTAGGACAGAGTTTATATGGTTTGATGTAGAGAAATGACCTCCAAGGCTTCTGACGGGAACTGGTCAGGACTTGTAAAGTCAATATTCAGCTGTTGTGACTATGGCTGGCGCATGATATGAACCTAGATCAATTTATCGAGGCTCTGAAGTCATGAAAGAATATTTGATGCCAGATGGACTGGAAGAACGCCTCTTTGATCATTCAGCACCGTAGACAAAGAAGTTTAAAATGAGCCACACAGCAATTAGTGAGGCAGCTCTTGAATCCCAATGTCTCTTGTTTTCATTGGGTTTATTTGATTTCCATACGTTGTTTGTTCTACCTTTGCAGCTGTCCACGCTGTGCCCCACCAGAATGGATGGCTTCCATCAGATATGCACAATGAAATCTTCTTTCTTATTATGATGCATTGCGGCTGCAGCTCAATTAAGGTAGCCAACCATTTCTTTGACCTATAAACTTGACACGGAACGTTTTCTCTGGCCTGATTAGTTTTGAGTTTGGGTATTTGATAAGCCACAGGATATGATGCTGAATACTGCAGTTGAACAAACTTCCATTCAATGCCGATCTCTTAACAAGACTTTGGGTTTCAAGACACTCATCATCTGGAAATTTGAAATGCCAACTGCAACAGCTGAAATTCTTACAAGGTCATTGACTCAAGCTTTCCAAGTAGCAGCAGCACTTTTGTATCGCTGACTTCCATAACTAAACTCATCGGCTTGATCCTATACACAAGTCGAAGTCGTACAAAGATCTTGGATAACGAATATTTTGAGATTCAATATGATGATATTTACCAACAAGGCATTTGCAAACCCCCTGTCAAGTTTCCTATTGCCCTCTTTTGTTCATGTTGCGTTTGCGTGCGCATCAGAGCTTGGCTTGGTTACGTATCACGAACTGCAGGGCCGGGGAGTCTCTTGAAGACATCCACATTTTTTATCATCGTTGGTGGTATAGTAGAGGCTTCTGGGAAGGCTCTGCCGGATCATTGTGAGGAGTGGTTAGGTGCTGGAATGGATTATATGATATTGGTGCAAATCAATTCCTAAATAAATAGTAGTCACAGCTGCATGAGAGATCCAATGCGCAGGAGCCCAAGTATAGGTACGGAGTACCTGAGTAGTAATTACATCTACCTAGTCGATGTAGTATTTAGTGGTATTTCCACCCTCTCAGGGTCGAGTTACTTCTCTATCAGTAATGTTACGTTTTACGCTGAAGACTGAGCTCCCATCCCCAGCCTCAATCCATCCATCCATCGCGGGGCACTCCACCATCGCCCGGCTAACCCACCTTTGCTTTGCTTTGCTTTGCTTTACTTTACTTTCCTCTAGTTAGGTAGGCGACCTACCTACCTACCTATGTCATCATGCAAAACGTTCCCCCGCCCACTCATGGCTTTGGATTGTAACCTCGTGCCCCTCGCATTCAAGTCTCATCTCCAGACCAACCTCCGCAGCAAGAGGCAGAAAAAAACCATTCCACCTCATCTATCGGTCACCTTGTCCTTGGCAAATAAATGTCTTCTGACCTTTTGTATCCTGATTCTTAGTTTGTGACTCTGACTTGACTCTGACTCTGACTCTAACCACTTTCCAATATTGGACTTGAATATCGAGATCCGTTCTACTCGAACCACTCCCTCGCTCTCTTATCCTGCCTGCGCCCCGCGTCCACTCCCACGTCCATCTCGTCTCGTCTCGCCTTGGCCCATCTCTGTGCAAACTATCATCTCATCATTGCAATTGTCGCGACAAATCACTGTTCCCCATTATCTCTTCATCTGTCTCTCGGTTGCATTACATACAGCGCTCTTTTGTTCGCCCAAGTCGTGTTGATCTATCGCTTATTGCCAGCCCAATCTATCAAATCTCAACATCAGTCAGTCAATTCATCACCCTGTCAAAGCGAAACGACTTCACCATGGACCCCTCACCGAGCTCAACTTCCCGCGAGCTCAAGGATACTCGCGCGACCAGCTCGACCAGCCTCAACAGTGCTGCTTCGGGCTCTTCGTCCACTCATAAACCACCTACTCTTTCTCAGCGATCCCCTTCTGTATCTATATCCGCTGGTTCTGGCCCAAGCTCCATATCCGCACACCGCGCAAGCTTCGCCGAGGGCTTGCGCAATGCGCCCTCGTCCCCACGCTCTCAACGGCACCCTTCTTTCACACAGGCCGCTCTCCAGGAGCTGTTGAACCATCCTCCTGCAGGAAACAAGCATGCCAACCCCAGATTTGCCGGCCGCGATTGGCGTGATGTAGCTATCGGAGAGCTTGTATCTCCCGATGATGTTAAATGGGTTGAGTTCGATAGCAGCGTTGAAGAAGCTACAAAGGTGAGCCTAAAACCTTGACTGTCACCCAATATGTCACCCAATACAGGACCGACCATGCTTACTCCAACTCGCAGCTCCTTCTCAAGAGCCCTACCAACGTTGTTCTGGTCCGCGAGGATCCCTCCACCCATATCGCGGTCTCCACATTCGATTATACCGATCTGAACGCATACCTGCTTGTTGTCGTTGGTCTCGCCAAACCTGAAGAAGATCAGGTTGAGCTATTCAATTCGATTCTGGCCAAGGCTCAGGAAGGTGGCCAGATTCCCCTACGAGACGTCTTCCCTCTTTTCCGCAAGGAAACACTCATCACATTGCCTGGTGACGAAAAGCTCGCACAGGCTATCCAAATTCTCGGCAGTGGCATCCATCGTCTGTTGGTGACAACTACTAGCGGCGAGGTGGTTGGCATCGCAAGCCAACTTAGAATTGTCGAGTTTTTCTGGAACGAAGGTGTCAACTTTCCTTCTATCGATCGACTTTACCCTGCTTTGCTACGTGATCTGGGCGTTGGGGCCAAGGAGATTGTTTCTGTCAAGTGAGTTTCTAATCAGTCTGAAGATGATGCGTATTAACACGCCATAGCTCCGATTCACCCTTATCTGAAGCACTCACGCTTATGAACAACGAAGGTCTGACAAGCGTTGCTGTTGTTGACAACGGCATGAATGTGGTGGGCAATATCTCGACCAAGGACGTCCGTCACTTAACCAAGAGTTCCAACGCCCATTTACTCAATTCGTCATGCATGAACTTTATTTCTGTGATTCTCAACGAGCGAGGGGTTGAACACGGACGCGACGTCTTTCCCGTATTCTACGTGAACCCCTACTCTACTCTGGCCCATACCGTTGCCAAGCTCGTTGCTACTCGATCGCATCGAATGTGGGTGGTTGAATCGGCGTCACCCTCCCCTTCAGCTCCTGCAACACCTTTAATGGGGCCCCAATCTTTCACGACCGCCGGCCCTCCACCTCCCGCTGCGCCCGTATCGGCGCCTGCGCCCCCGTCGCCTGTCCCGACTGCAGCAGTACCTGCTTCTCCAGTCCCTACAGCTGCTGTGCCCGCATCGGCCATGGCCGGAGCTCGTCTTTCAGGGAGGCTTACTGGTGTTATCTCGTTGACTGATGTACTCAATATGTTTGCGAAATCGACTGGTCTGCACCCTTCGGACCCCAACGAACAGCGAGCGAGACGAAGACGAAGCTCAAGCAGCTCAGTGCGACCAAGTCTGGACTCATCTCGAGCTAGTATCGATTTCCGAAGGTGATGGCAATGGAGCTTGGCTATGGATATCATTACGCGAGTCTTGTCAGGAAAGATGCCAAGTATGGTTGTAATTTTCTTTCGAAGTACTGTCTGCTCATGAGTCCGAAAGAAAGAAAAGAAAAGAAAAACGAAAAACAAAACAGGCTATATCAAAGGGACAAGAAGTTAGTCCAATGGGACAGGGGCAGCTTCGGATTATTTAAACTTGCGAATCATGCAGTATTCGCAAACATCTTGTCCATGCATATGTTTTCGAAACGTTGAGCATAAGCAGGATTCAAAAGATTTCCATTCTCACTTTATGTATGGCATGGTTATTCAGAAGGATGGATGCATCTGGCACATATCAACTTAGGATGGACACAACGTGAGAAGCAGAGGTAGCAATTTGACAAAATCTTTGCTCCAGGGCAAGTCGCTAAATGCTGTGAAGTAGGTGATGATAGTAAACACAACGTCTCCGGTTTCGCTCCAAAGACTCAATCTTTGTCGTGCTGTTGTTGTACCGAGTATATCGAGTATGTACTAACATAATTCAGCCACTTGGATCGACGTTTTGGGTGGCAATACGGAGTAGGCACGTGAGTTATAGGACCCTCATCACATATGTCGCGATCTGATTGGCTGGGTGCATGCCATCCCGGATCCCGGAAAGCCACCCAAAGGTAAGTACCGTATGTAGCCTCAGTTCAAGGTGAATTGACTCATCATTCATCTCACCCATTCTTCTTCGTCAACGGCGGTTCAACGTTCGTATTTTCTTTTTCCCTATATTTCGATCCTTGTTCTTGACCCGAGTCTTTGCGCAACTGTTCTCTACTATATTCTTTGTTCCCTGTCTTTTGATTTTCAATCCTCCTTAACACGGCCTTGACTGAGTTCACCCTTTTCCCTTTCTGTGA